GTAGTAATAGTAGTAGTAGTAGTAATAAAGAAGAAGAATAAGAAGAAGTTAATGAAAACTTTGAGATGAAAGATTAACGTAAGGAATAAACAATGATAACAACAACTATCAAGGTTAGATCATGCATTAATGGTATTTCAAACAAGTATAGTATAAACTCTTATTATTCAATTGGAAACCACATAGAAAAGAGGTTTCAATCAGATTATAAATTGTTAACATGATTACATTAGTTATCTTATTCGAATAATGCTAATACTTATAAATATTGTCAAGCATGAATTATTGATTTGATGACTAATTGATGAGTGAGTGACCAACTTTTGACTTAGTGACAATTCTTATCTTGTTTGCCCTAAACGTCATTAATAACGTCCGAATTAGAACCACTTGAAAACATGAAAGTTGTAAGAAATTATCTCAGTTTTTCAGAAAAAAATGAAGGTCATTTGAATTTTTAAAACTCCAAATATGGGTCAAACACTGAACAATATTCGGGTTGTAGGACATATTCAAACTTTTTCGTTGTTGCTACAACTTGGACTTGATAATAGTCTTTTTAAAACCAAACCTCCACATGAAAGTTATAGGTTATGTCTTATCTTTTTATTCATATAAAAAAGACCTAAATCTGAGATTCATAACTCCAGATATAACTCAATTACCAAATAGTGTTCCAGTTTGGACTACACCAGCATCTCTTTTCTAAGTTAATCCATCTCTTTGTCCTTTCAATTTCAGTTCTTAAAGTCATCAATAAATCTTTTCATTTATGTGATAGATCTACATTTAAAATGAATATTTACCTCAAATTAAAGTTATCTTATAGTATTAGATATGTTATTATAAAACATACTTTACTTAAGAAGTTATTGATACTTTAAGTGCAAAATGATGATATAAAACCTTAATAAAAATGCACTTTTAAATACTAATAAGTCACACCAAGTTTTTTCTTTTTCTATTTTTTCTTTAGTTCTGTCAGATTCCAGTCCCGGGCCTGTCATGATCCGGGTCGATCCGCTAGACTGGATCGGGTTTTAAAAATGTGGTTTTATTAATTTATATAAGGATATTTGATTGGCCTTGTAAATTGTCCAATAAAAATATTAATTTGAAAACAAGTAGAATTCATGAGTGTGGAAAAAAAAAAGAGAAAGAGAGAAGATATAAAAATATGTGTTCAATAAAAAACAAATAGTAGAAAATATGTATAAAAATAAAAATACAAAATAGAAAAAATAAATCCAGGTTTTTCTCATAGCCGGTCTAAGAACGTGCCCAGGCTGTCACCGGCGAGATGGATGAAGCCTTTTGAAGTTCTTTTTTCTTTCTTTTTGTTATTTTCCTTGGCACGTCACTAGAGTCATTCACTAAAGTAACTCCCCCACGTAATTATTTTCCTATTCAAACAACTCACAGCCTCGTACGGTATCCTAAGAAACTTTATAAAAAACGAAAGTTCTTCAGTGGGGTAGCAGTGCTGATGGCCTCAGCTTTGCCTTTTCCCATGCTATCCCACGCCCGTTAGCATAGATTTAAATGAGTTTTTGTTTTCTGTTTTAAAACCATTTAAAAAATTTTGTTTTCTGTTTTAAAACCATTTAAAATAAAAATAAAAAATAATAATATTAAAAAATAAAAAAATTATTTCTAAATAAAAAATATTTTCAAAAACAGCTACTGCTGCACTTTTAAATTCCCCCGTAAATCTAACATCACATTTTATTACTTGTTTATGCCTCCTCGGGATACAAAAACAAGACTCCAACGGCTTAGATCTCTCATGGGCTCCATTACACGACAGCTATTCCTGCAGAATCTCTTTCACCGATGAGATTTTTGTTTGGGACACAGAATGAGGGCACCAATATGTCATATGTGAAAGGATCTTGTTCACGTGCATGTTCAGCATTGAATGGAAGGGGCACATCCACCCATCTGTGCCATTGATCTTCAAGATCTTTGATCACGACACAATGACCCCACGATTTGAATTTATCTAGGTTTATAGAAGAAGTATCTGCTGGCAGGCTCGATGAGAAGGGACAGAAGAGGGTGAACGGGTTAAATTTAATTCGTCGGATTTTAAATTTATTTTTTATAAATTATTAATTAAATATCATAAATTTTAAAATTATTAATTCCTGTTTATTTACTGAAATATAAATTTTTTGGAAAATAAATTTTGAAAAATTAAATTCCAGAAAAATATTTAAATTTATTTTTTATAAATTATTAGTTAAATATAATAAATTTTAGAGTTATTAAGTTTTATTTATTTGTTGGAAAGTAATTTTTTAAAATAAATTCTGAAAAAGTAAATTTAAGAAAAATAATTATTTTTTGATATTTGATAGTATAATAAGAAATAAGTTAAAAATATTTTTTAATATTTAATTATGTCATGAAAAATAAACTGAAAAATAACTTATAAATATTTTTTTTGAAGTTTATTAAAATAATAAGGAGTAAATCTTATAAATTAAAAAGTTAAATGAGAATGAAATTAAAAAAATATAATTTTATAAATTATTTCATATAAAATAAATAATAGAGATCAAATAAAAAATTAAAAAAATAAAGAAATTAAAATAATAATAGTTATCATTTTATAAATTATTTCAAATAAAATAAGTAACAATCAAAAGAATAAGGACCAAATTTAATAAATAAAAAATTTTAATTAGAAAAATTTAAGAAAATAAAATAAAAAATATAAAAATAAAAATTAAAGTTAATATAAAAATTAAATTCTAAATGATAAATTAAAAAAATATTCAAAATAATATAAGGATCAAATTTGATATAATCAGTAAATAATATAATATTTTTAAATTTTTCATAATTTTCAGAAAGTGTTTTCCGTCTAAAATAAAAAAATATTTTCATGAAAATCAACTTAAATTTTTTTGATTAAAAATTATTTTTTATTGACTAAAACATATTTTTTTAAATCAATTTTTTTAATAATAAGTATATAAAAAAATTTAAAAAGTAATTTTTTAGAAACTATTCTCTAAAAAAATGCAACTTAAAGTTTTATATAATTATTAATTTAAAAATTTAAAAATATTAGTTGAAGTAAATTGGAAATGGACAAGTAAATCTCGCCTTATCATGAGATGTCATTTGTGGGTATCACTGAATACATATGATTTTTAATGAGGGAAGACCCCTGTTTACGTTTGTGGGAGCTAGGTTGGAAAAAGAAGAAGAAAAAGAAAGGGCAAATGTAGCCGCAGAGTGGATAGCCACCGTCTGGGCAATCTAGCAGTGGAGGGCTCCACAGAGGCATGTAAGGAGGTTGTCCTTTTTCTGGGATGCAGACATCTCCTCCACTAACCTCTCTGACATCTCTTCGAAAGCTGTGCAGTTTGTCCACCTCACTTTCCCAGATCAACCCTTAAAACCTGGGTTTTTTTTCAATCTAACACAGTTTTCCGAGAAGTTTTTGCAAGCTAACAAAATGCAAAAAGAATATTTAAAAATTATTATAGTCTCGTTAAGTGTAAGGTGATGGTTGTTTTTAAATTATTTTTGTTGAAAGAATATTAAATAATATATATTTTTTATTTTTTTAAATTTATTTTTAATATTCTCGTAACAAAATAATATTAAAACTAAAAAATTAAATTTTTTTACAAAACACATATCTCTTTTTAGAATAAGTAAGTTAGCAACCAAAAACAACCATTAAAGTTATGTTTGATGTTTCTAATTATAATTACAAGGGAGTATATTTGGTAATATTGATTATTATTATTTTTAAAAAATTATTTTTGATATTAACACATTAAAATATTTTTGAATTACTAAAAATATATTAATTTAAAATAAATAAAATTAATTTTTTAAAAAAATACTTAAATGCATAAACAAACTAGAATCCTAATTATAAACTTACTTTTAACAAATCTTAGGGTTTGTTTGGCAGCGTGATTGTGGGTATTTTTCAAATAATTTTTTGTGCTGAAATATATATAAATAATTTTTTTATTTTTTAAAAATTATTTTTAATATTAACATATCAAAACGATCCAAAATATATTAAATTTGAATAAAAAAATTTAATTTTTTAAAAAAATACAGTTTATACCCCTACTCCAAACATGATCTTAAGCTATCCCAACCCCATAAACCCTAAGTGTATGCTTTCCAAAATCATTTTAGGGTTTGCTATTAGTTTATTTGCATCACATGATTCACTATTATCTTCTATTGTCATCTCTCTTCCACTAGGACCAGTGTCCTTTGCGAGCAAGATTCTCTAACTGTGTTGTTTTTGCATCAAAATATTAAGCTAGTTAGATCACTCTCTCATATTCCTAGTTATTATACTGCTATTAATTAACCTTTTAGATATTGATTTTCCCCTCTAAGTTAAATTCCTGCCTTCCTTCTTCTACCCATTCTTTTTATTAAAAAAAAATAATGGAAAAAACTAAACTCCCATTAACTTCTAATTCCTAAACTCTAAAATGCGTTTGAGAATTGTATATTTAGGGTTTATTTCTTGTTAGTTTAGGATGGAAGGTGAAAATAGTGGTAAAAAATCACAACTTTAACTGAACTGTGTTATATTTTATATATTTTTTAATTAATTTGTTAAATTTTTTATCAAATTATATTAATTAAAAAAAAATTAAAACTGATATATATATAAATTAGATTTTTTAACTTACACTAAATTTAATCGATTTAATTAATTATTTTTTATGTATTTGGATGGTAAAAATTACTTTAAAAATATATTATTTTATTAGAAATATATTAAAATAATATTTTTTTATTTTTTAAAATTTATTTTTAATATTAATATATTAAAACAATATAAAACTATTAAAAAATTATTTTAAACGAATCAAATTTTCAAAAGTTTTCAAAACTGTAGAACAAACTTTATTGGCTTTTCAAAATAATCAAGCGGCAGTAACTCAACTCACTTTATTCCACTCCTTTACTGTACCCCACAGTTGTTTTCCCCTATAAAAACCCTACCAACGGGAAACTCTCGAAAAGAGGAGAGAGAGGATTCTTTTTGCTTAGCTATCCTCTACCTCAAATCCAGTGTGTGGTGGTCGCAAGCTTCTCTCGGTTTTTCACCATGGCAGCAATGCTGAGATCTCTGCCCACTCTTATTCTCTTCACTCTTATATTCTCCCACATTTCAGGTACAAACTCGCGCCCTGTTCGCTTTTGAGTCCTTTTTTGCCTGTTTTCTTAGGCCTGGGTAAAGATCTAGTCTTTTTTAAAATTTCCCTATATTTTCATGTGCTGTTGTTTAGTTTGGCCCAGATCATACTATAAACACAGCTTCTTATGAGCAAAAATATCAGTTTCTTAATTGTTGATTATTGTTAACATTCTAATTGTTATTATATTTTTTTTTTCCTACATAATGCAGAGGTCTCATCAACAACAATAACACTTCACAACAAGTGCACCCATCCAGTGTGGCCAGGCGTCCAACCAAGTGCAGGTAGGCCCTTGTTAGCCCGTGGAGGATTCAAGCTCCCACCCAACAAGGCCTACACCCTCAACCTCCCACCACTCTGGTCCGGCCGTTTCTGGGGTCGCCATGGCTGCTCCTTTGACGCCTCTGGGCGCGGCCGCTGTGCTACTGGAGATTGTGGAGGCTCCCTATTTTGCAATGGCATTGGAGGCACCCCACCTGCCACACTAGCAGAAATCACCCTAGGCAATGACCAAGATTTCTATGATGTTAGCCTTGTAGATGGCTACAATCTTGCAATCTCAATAACTCCATTTAAAGGCTCAGGCAAATGCAGCTATGCAGGGTGTGTTCGTGACTTGAACATGATGTGTCCTGTGGGGTTACAAGTCAGGACAAAAAACAACAGGGTCGTGGCTTGTAAGAGTGCTTGCTCTGCTTTCAATTCCCCGAGGTATTGCTGTACTGGTAGCTTTGGAACCCCACAAGCTTGCAAGCCAACTGCTTATTCGAGGATCTTCAAGGCAGCTTGTCCGAAGGCCTACTCGTATGCTTATGATGATCCTACTAGCATTGCAACCTGCACTCGTGGAAATTATCTGGTCACTTTCTGTCCTAATCAACACTGATGAGAGTGAGGGATCAGGGGCTGATCGATTCAATTAGGAGTGTTTGTTTCGGGTTATTATATAATGTAGTGCTAGTATTTATTCAGAGTGTAATCGGTTTAATGTTTTTTTATAAAGAGACTTTTTCATTAAATTTATATATATATATATATATATTTTTATTGGTAACATCAATACATAAAATTATTGAAAAAAATAATTAATTTAATATTTTTCATGTAAAAAATATTTTAAAAAACAAGTTTAGTACGTCGTGGTGTTCCATTGAAGTACCTTGCTCGTGGAAATTTTGAGCTTATGCATGTTTTGGCTTCATATTGTTTTGATTTTTTTTGGATCTGATTTAGGATTGCCATGCCAACAGTGGAAAAACATTATGGAAATGAATGGAATATATAATTGATTTTCAGGTATTATAAAATAAAAAAAAATTATAAAGAAGTTTTCAATTAAGTATATATCTTTGTCTAGCTTATAAATTTAAAAATAAATTTTAATTAAAATTTTAAAAAGCTACTGTTCTGGTAATATTAAATAGTTATATGGAAATTTTATCATAATTAAATGAAAATCTATTTTAAATAAATTATATGAATGAATATATTTATAAATTATTAAAATAAATTTAAATTTTAAAAAATTTTGTCAATTAAATTATGCGATTTTACTGAATTTTTTGTTCATTTATTAATTTTTTAAATTTTATATACTAATTCCCAATTTATCATGTTTGGCAATCACCCCCATCATAAAAATTGATGAATTCAATCCTTTTGTGCTTATATTCAAAAGCAGCGAATTGTAGCTTTTCCCATGGGTGAGAAATTTGCTTCTCATTAAGTCATTTGACATAAATACCCTCATCTCCCCAAAATCACCGAAAGCATCCGCAACAATCTCCCAAATCTCAGAACGCATCTGCAGCTGCTAATCTTTGCACGACCGGTTTGCCAAGGACAAATAGTACAAGGACAAATTTGCTAGAAGTCGCGCAGCTGCCAAAAAGGTCGTTGCTTTTGTGTCTTTTCATTGTGTTTTCCATGAGATTTGGTAGAAGGAGATCTGGGTAAGTATTTCATGCAATGTTCATGCAGGCATTTGCTTCGGTTGGTTTCTTTCCCATCATTGGGCCATGATGTCAACAAGCTGAAGCACTAAAACAAACATCATAAGAGAAATCAGTCTTGTGTTGTACGATTCCCATCATCAGGGGTTGATTCTTGCTAGATACACATTTTCATTTATTTTTTTTAAGTTTGAGAACCCCATGTGAACATTCACTCCCCTGCTATTAAATTAAGGAAAACTGAAGAGTGTGATGAGAAAAAAAAAAAAAAAACTGACAACTTGCATGATGAGGCGACGAGGCATGAGCTAAGATTAAGAATGCAGTAGATTTTCATTATGTTTTCCATGAGATTTGCTGGAAGGAGATCTGGGTAAGTTTTCCATGGATGTAAGCATACAAGTGCTTTTCCCAAGATGCTTTTGCAGTTTGAGTCGACCTTGATGAGTTGTATAGATGAATTTTTGAGGTATACAAATGCACTGGGGCTTTTTCTCTGAAGGTCTTGAAAGCAGGTCTTGATATCTTAAATCCAGACTAAACATATTGTGAAAATGAAATTTCAGACTTAAATCCAGCCAAGGATTTAGGTGGAAGTGAACATTCATGTCTGGAGGAAACGGGATTGTTTTTAGCAGTTGAATAACTTTTTCAATTGTAAGGGAACCCTGGGATAGTTAGAGTGCGGAAACTAGTGTTTCTAAATCATGAAAATAATATTTTTTTTATTTTTTAAAAATTAATTTTAATATTAACATAAAGAAGATCGAAGAACACTAAATAATAACAATTTCAAGTAAAAAAATGACGCGGTTTTTTCAAAACTTTTATTTAACTGTGTTAAAATTACACAAGAACAGTGGAAATGGGGTTGAATTTCCGCAGATGAATGATTTTTTCAATTATAGGAAACCGTGGGATTGGTGGCAAGACAGCGATAGCTAGCGCAGTCTATGGAAAGATAGGTTGTCATTTTAGCTATAGCTTTATTACACATGTAAGTGTAGCATCTGAAAAGCATGCTATGGTTTTTCTACGTGAACTTCTTTCACGGAGATTAATGGAGAGGCGAAAACATGGGTTTCCATGGAGGAATGGACGAGATGAAGTCACAGGCTATGCTCTAGAAGGGTTCTTTTTGGTCTTGATGATGTTCATCAATTGTTCCAGTTTGAATCTTCAGTTGCAGATCGTAATTGGTTTCCTGTTGGAAATAGAATCCATCAAAACTACAGGATATGAACATTTATTGAATTGTGCATGTGAAACCAGCCATGTTAGTCAATAATGGGTGGAGTAGGTGAAGCCATCATTTACATCTTAGACAATAATTAGAGGCTTTAATTCGATGTTACTTATGTTATTAAAGATTTGTTTGGAACCGTGTTTGGAACATGTTACTTATGTTATTAAAGATTTGTTTGAATCGTGTTTGTTGTTATTTTTTAAATAGTTTTTTGTGTTAAAATACATATTAATGATATTTTTTTATTTTTAAAAAATTATTTTTAAAATCAGCATATCAAAATGATTTGAAAACATAAAAAATATATTAATTTAAAATTAATAAAAAAATAAAAATATTTCATATTTTTTCAAAAATATTTTTGAAACGCGGAAATAAACAAAGCTTAGATGATATCATTTGTTTAAAATTAATAAAAAAATAAAAATATTTCACATTTTTTCAAAAATATTTTTGAAACGTGGAAATAAACAAAGCTTAAATGGTATCATTTACCTTGTACTTTATCTTTTCCATGAATGTGAGATTATAAATAAATAATATATCCAAACTTATTTTACAAACAACAAGAGAGGGAAAAAAATTAAAAAAAAAGATTAATTCTACAAAATAATAAAGTATTTGTAAAAAATAAATAAAATATTTTCTTCTAATAAATTTTTTTATTAGTAAAGAGATGCTATAATTTCTATATTATTTAATAAAATCTTTCTATGCTTATCAATGAACATGGTTAAATTTAAATGAATCATATAAATTTTTTTATTTTTTATTTTTTATTTTATTATATTTTTTTATCTTTTATCTTATTACATGCAACTATCCAACTAACAGTCTTTATTAATTTTAATATATTGTTTTTTGAAATCTAATAAAGTCTTCAAGAGATTCATCTCAAATGAGCAGTATTGGATTAAACAAGGCCCAGCTAGCACTTCTCAATGTAGGATTTCTGCATAGAAGGGCTTTTGCATGTTAAATTTTCTGAAATTTTATTGTAGCGTGGGTCTAAAAAGGAGGTTTTTCACTGAAGATTGGCTTTTGAAATAACCTGCAAATCTTAGTCATGTTCTTAGAGAATTGACTCAATGATGCTCTCTGCTTGTTTGCGTGGGTGGCTGGGGAATTGGGCTGTGATTAGCAACAATCATGTTCTTGCTCTTTGATATAACCTCTTCCTGTTCTAAGACCTCTCCGTCTATATTATTTAATAAAATTTTTCTATGCTTATCAATCAACATGGTTAAATTTAAATGAATCATATAAATTTTTTTATTTTTTATTTTTTATTTTATTATATTTTTTTATCTTTTATCTTATTACATGCAACTATCCAACTAACAGTCTTTATTAATTTTAATATATTGTTTTTTGAAATCTAATAAAGTCTTCAAGAGATTCATCTCAAATGAGCAGTATTGGATTAAACAAGGCCCAGCTAGCACTTCTCAATGTAGGATTTCTGCATAGAAGGGCTTTTGCATGTTAAATTTTCTGAAATTTTATTGTAGCGTGGGTCTAAAAAGGAGGTTTTTCACTGAAGATTGGCTTTTGAAATAACCTGCAAATCTTAGTCATGTTCTTAGAGAATTGACTCAATGATGCTCTCTGCTTGTTTGCGTGGGTGGCTGGGGAATTGGGCTGTGATTAGCAACAATCATGTTCTTGCTCTTTGATATAACCTCTTCCTGTTCTAAGACCTCTCCGACACCTATTCCTTTAAAAAACTGATAATACGCTCTCCCTTTTCCTTTACATAATGAATCTGAGACTACAAATTTGGGTTATTGGTACCGACCTTGATGTTTCTGGTGCTCTGGCACCATTGAAAACCGACAAGTCTGGCTGCTCTGCTCGGGTTATTCTTTTTTCTTTGTTTTCTAGTGACCCAATTGGGTATTTGTGTTAAAGATTGTTGCTTTGAAGAAATTTGATGAAAATGTCTTAAAGTTTTTTGTGATGAGATTACAAAAAAAAAAAAAGTACTAGTTTATATTTAAAACATGTATAAATGATAATATTACTTACATTATTACTTGTACCAACTCTGCAATTGATCATATATTTATTATTAGTAATTCTCTTTTTTTGTTAAACTATGACCTTAATATTGATTTGTTATATTTTTTATGTATTCATAAATCATATATTTATATAATTTTTAAGTTATAAAATTACTAATTTTAACAAGACATATATTTTAATCAAACTAGTAAAAATTAAAAGTATTTTTAAAAATATGTTCTTTACAAACTGGAATTATAAAAACCATACAAAATAATGCAATCTTTGTTCCTTTCAACATTTTTTTTTTTTTTGCTTCGGGGGAATGCTAATTTAACATATATATATATATATAACGACAAAGTTATATATATATATATATATATATAACGACAAAGACAATTTAACGTTGTTAAATCTAAAAATATGTATGCGTAGAAGTTAGACCATTTAGTTGGTTTGTCTAGTGGTTGAGTTTTGTTAATTTTCAACTGTTTATTTGAAGCAATTGAAAGAAATATATATCCCTACAAACTAAAAATTTAAATTAAATGAAAAACAAATTTAACGTTGTAAAAGATCCCATATTGTGTTCAATGACTAATTAATATATAAATTTAAACTTTAATTACCAAAATGATTTTTTCTCATAAAAACAAAAAACACTCTTTTGTTTATTTTTGACTTTATTCTTTCAATTTGTTATAATGATAACCTTAAATTCTATTTCATGAAATTTATCATTAATTCAATTTAAGGATTTTCTCAAACGCTTTGCATGCGCGAGGGCATGTAAAGAGAATCAAATCGTACCATGTAAAACGATATCAACATAACTTGCAAGAGTGAGGGCAATACCCATTAATCAATGGTAAAATCATAGTGTTTTCGTGAATATCAGAGAAAGAGACTCTAGAAGCTATGCAACAGTGGGGAAGTCTACGTCTTCTTCTGTTCCAGATAAAAAACTACAGATGTTATGGGTGCAGGTCCAGGACCAAAACACAAAGAAACATGCGTTGTGGGTGTCAATCTATGTCCTATCATGGCTACGAATGATGAACATAATATAAGCCTGTTGTGGTTCATGAGACGATAGATGAGGAAACTGAAATATGGCTCTAAAATAATCTGGCTGGGTGGATTATAAAAGGGGTAAATTGTTAGAGTATCAAGCGATCGTTAGTTGATGAGGGAGTCCATTTCTGCGGTTTCAGATTCATGGGTGCAACACATGTTATTATTACTTTTGAGTCATATGTTTGATCAATGATGAAATCGTTTGAGTCGATCTCCATTAAAAACATGGGATCTGTTTTTTGATGAATTAAGCCCATGGTTAGACACAGACGACCCGTATGATAGATTCACATGGATCACTTTGTCTGGTCTCCTAATACTAGAGTGGAATGTCTCTTGTATAAGGAAAATCATAAGAAAATATGGCAAGTCTATTCGTTTTGACAAAATTAGCCTGTACCTTAGTAACTTTGATAAACTAAAGCTCCTTATCGCCACCACCATTCCTCGTTGTATTCAAGAGAATTTTGAATGGCACCTGAATGACAGGACTTTTCAGTTGTGCATTGCAGAGTTAGATGACCTGCACTATCTAGATTTTGAATCAATTGAATTCAATATGGGATCTTTTAGGACATTACTATTTGAGGATGATGATGACGACTCTTAAAACTCAGCAGACAGTCAAGGAGAGGTTGCAGGTGTTATACATGAATTATGTGTTGAGCAAAAAGAGCAAACAAAGGTGTTACCTTTATGGACAGGAAATCCAAATGCTGATTTAACTGCAGATCTTGTCCCAGATGAGGTCTGGTTCCCTAAAATCAACGATGTCTATACTGTCGCGAGGAGTTATGGCAGTAGTTTAGCTGGAGTACACGTTGATAAATCAGAACTGATGACAGTTCCCTTTGGAATGTTAATGATGTTGTATGGCATGCTTTAGATTCAGAAGGGAAGGCAAGAGGGATTCTGGAAATGTGTAATAATATTTATTTTAAGACCAAGACGATCTAGTATGGTGGTCAGTGGGTAGCTTTATTTGGCTTGCATATTCAAACCAGTTTTAAATGCGCTGTTGTCGGAGTCTATGGTGCTAATTCTATTGCCTCACATGGATTTTTGTGGCTGGAGTTGAAAACACTTGACGCTAGCTTTTCAGTTCTGATGATTGTTCTAGTTGATTTTAATGAGACTTTAACTACAAGCGATAAAAACATGGCTTCCTAAA